ATTTAAACCTAGGGCAACCATCCTGGAGTTTCAGCAAAGCATACACAGGTCTAGGTATTGATTCTCTAACAATAAATTCTGAGGTACTTAAGACTCTTTCCAATAAAATTTTATGTTGTGTGCTTTTCTGGACAGCCTACCAACATGGCGACTGTTTCCCCATAGAGGGTGAATTGCAGCTGGTTATAATTGATTCTAAAAAGTATATCAGCATCCCCCCAATATCAGTCTGCAAACTAGTTACTTCATAATCATCTGCGGGAATTTTAAAATAATAGAGATTCTTGAATTTGTCTTTTAGAGATTCTATACTTTCTTGATTGGAGAGTAGGTCTTGGATATGGTCTTAGAGTCTGTTTTTCGTTTTGATGGCTTTTGAATTAAAAATTATTCCCAGGTGACTCTGATGTAATGCTAGGTTCAGGAATCAGATAAGTGATACTAAGATTTCACTGAATATTCAAATGATATTTATATTGGACAGTTCTTTCTGAGGCATTACTGATTAGTAATAGTTTTCCATATTCCTATTTTCCAAGGTAGCTTGGGAAAAAATTATGCGTTCCATTTGAGCACTTAGCAATACAAATGGAACTTTTCACATAATGACAAGATATATTTTTTATTTTCTTGATAACTAATTGCTCAAATTAGTAAGTATAGCTATGTTTCGTGCAGTGAGTGCCCTGTCTTAGGCCCAGTACTGTCCCTGGTACACATTGCCACATTTATACACACAACTCCCTTATGAGGTGAAAATTGAGATCTCCATTTTACAGGGAATAAAACTGAGGTTTTAGGGGGTTATATAACTTGTCCAATTCCATGTAAATTGAATTGCTAAATGTCAAAAGTTTCATTTATACTTAATTTGATCTAATGTACACAAATATAAATTATAGCATCTTTTTAAAAAGTATGTTCTTTCAACCACCCAGAGTGTCCACCTCAAAATCATCCAAAAAAAAACCTTTTTTAGAAAGAGCGCATCTGAGTCAGAATTCGTTTTGTTGAAAAAATACATCCTACAAATTAAATGAAGTCTTTCAAGGCACAGAGTCCATACTTTTGTGAAGAGCAGATAAACCTTATTTATCTTGATTTGCCACAGAAATATCATTTATTAAAAGGGTTCTCAATATAATGAAGTCAATTTGGGATAATCCCTTGTCTTGGTGTGAGGTTGTGTTCCTCCAAAAATAGGTCATTGCTACTGGCATCTGTCTTCTCTTTTTCTCCTATTTCTAGGTTTTCAACTCAAAATTCTGAAACATAAGATTGTTTTAGAAGTTTATCTTTATCATTTCAAGTAAAATTACATTGCTCAAATAGAGTAAACTAGGTCTCAAATGTGAGGAAGTTAGAAGAGGAACTTGGTGGGTCTTAGCAATTAGATGATGGTTATTGGTCTTGAAATAAGGATGCCATTCAGACCAAAGGAGGTAGTTATGTCTCATGCAACATCAACATTGTTGTGTCAATTCTGATGCTGGGTGGCTTCATAATATGTTAAATTTGTACCATTTTTACCTTTTTGTTGTAAATATTACACAGGAGCCTTGTCTTATGCTGAATTGGGAACAAGTATAAAGAAATCTGGTGGTCATTATGCGTATATTCTGGAAGTCTTTGGTCCATTGCCAGCTTTTGTACGAGTCTGGGTGGAACTGCTCATAATACGGTAAGAGTATAGATAGAAAAAAAATTAAGGAAAAATAAATCTATTCGTTACCTCATTCTTCTGAATCACGTGGATTATTTTAAACTAGTTGGAAATATGCATGTCATGTGACTATGTTAAAAACATGTCTACCTAGGACTTAAAACCTGTGACAAAATACTTTTCTGGATTAACATGTTTAATGCAGTTTTGTCACTGAAAAGTGGTTCACCAGCAATGCCAAACTTTTAAAGTACCTGCTTTCTTCAATCTTCAGTTACTCTCTTTGACATTTCTAGGAAAGATGTTTGCTTGAAAGGAAACATCAAAATTCACCTTGATAAATACTACCTTTAGACTAACCAGACAAAATTAAATAGTGTGCTAGGAATTGGAGTTTTCTCTTATTGTAGACTGTACCAGTAAGTTATTTAACTTTACTCAGTTTTTGTGACTAAGCAACTTTTGTGCCTAACAATTTAGCATGTTATCAAGTCTTGTACTTTATAAAAAATCAAGTTTACATGACATCAATGACTCACTTCCTCCCATTAAGCAAGTCAGGAACTACAGTTGCAAAAATCTTTTTTGATTTTATTGTTGTAAGAATGTATCCACCTTCCTGATTATGTTGGTTTAAAATCAAAACAAATAGTGCTAAGTCACTGTGAAAAGCAAATTCTTTCAACTTTGTGGGAAACTGATGATGTCATATGAGCGATTCAGAGTATCACCGTTCCTTAAGGCTAATTGCTTCCATAAGATATGACTTGCACATTCCAACTACAGAGTTTAATAGAATTAACTAGGGAAACTTATCAGACATACATAGCTGAGAGCACACATGAGCTTTTATCTGGTCATTTGTGGTTAAGCGGCAAACGCAGAGCTAATAAGTATTGGCTTCACAATAATCATGATTTTTTTGGAGTCTCTTTTAACAAAGACCTTCAAAGTAGTATATACTTCATTAAGTCTGTTCTCACTGTAAACAGTTCTGCATTATTTACATTTGTTATAATGAAATAATGATAAAGGAATATTTTGTTCATTTTTTAAAATCCCTCTACTGAGATATACTTTTGCTCCTTTTTGATTATCTGAATCTTATGTACCTTTCAAAGGTCAACTCAAATTCTATCTTTCCCACAGTTACTTTCCTGTTTGTTCTAATTTATATTATTTCTTTCATCTCTTAAGACTTTTGAAAAATACAGTCTCTGCTTCTTGACATTGAATGTAATTCTTGTGTTCTTACTTAA